TGCAAATTGATAAATCATGAGTTGTTTTGTGTGGGTGCAGCAACTATATCTCTAAGTCTTTAAAAGCAAATTGTGTTCACATGAAGGAACAGAAGTCATGAAGGAATTGTTTGTCATATGAAGATAAATGTACGAGTATAGAAGAAAATTTAGTGAATAGGAGTGCATTTCGGACACCAGATGGTGTGGTCAGCAATTTGTATTTTCTCAGTCAGTCTGCTTTTATGATTTTAAAACTGATAAGATGTTGGAGATGAAATCAACCAGCTGCTTTCACAGGAAAAATTCATAATAATTAGGTGTTACATTTACAAAGTGTAGTCTTTTATGTCAGAGGAATAGAGCTGATAAGCAATAATTACCATTGCACAGTCAATGCTCATGGCAGTAAAACCAGACGAACACAGCCTAAAATTAGGGTCTGAAAGATGGATTGCTAAAATGTGTATGCCCATGCTTTTCCCATAAAGAGAAATTATTGGGGAAGTAGTGTGGAAGGCAAAGAGAAAGAATGCCTGTAACCAGGCATCAGGATTGTAGATGTTGATCAAACATCATGGAAGTATTCAACAAAATGTGTTTTAAAATGATGGTTTCAGCCATCACTGTTTTCGATCTTCTTACTAGGTTTTTTCTATTGTATGTAGAGTAATGTTAGTAAAATCACAAGGGAATACAATGAAAACTCTGAGTACTTAGATCTGTCATATAGAATGCATAGTTAATTTTCTGTTACAATATCACATAACACGTATCAAGTATATGTTGGTGTGAAACAAAAATGTGTAAACGAAAAGTCTCAAACAAAAAGGAACAATTGTTAGACAGTAGTGTATGGGAAATAAAGAACCAAAAAAGGTACATTAATGACACTTATATTGTTACAAGTTAAATATTGATATTTATATACCGTTCTTATCACAATGTAAATTGTATTTTTATGTAAAATGACTTTTCAACATTTTATTTTTTCCTGCTAACCTGCATATTTAGTTATGATGTTCCTTTCACTTACATCTTGCAGAACAGTATAGACAAGAAATGTTTAAAAATAAAGGTTAGTGTATTAGCTCTATTACACAATAAGTTATTGTTCTTAAGAAAGTTCTAGAGGTGCAGTCTTACATTGTAGCAATATCACTTCTTAAGAAGTATTATTGAGGGTTCAGAGTTGAAATGACTGTGCTGAACATTGTATGGGGTAACAGTCAGCCGCATGATCTAGTGTTACACAATAGTTCTTTTTTACTATTATGCTTTGATTTTTCCATTTCTCATAATTTTAATTTCAAACATTTTTCAAAACAACATTATTTTTATCACTTCAGTTTGAGAAAAGAAAACTCTCATAACTGAAATTAAAATGATAATATATTTACCAAGCTGACTACAATACAAATTTTACTTCACACCAATTTTTAATTTAAATCAATGTAAAACAATACCAAGTTTCATGAGTCAGTCTCAGGTAATTCAAGTCAACATACACAACATAAATAAAAAAATAATCTGTAATTTATTGTAATTTAATGTCAAAAAAAATTAGTAACGCTGTAGTACTATATGAATACTGTCAAGGCTTGATCCAACTTTCACATTTTGGCCTTCTTCGGGGATCTGGACCCAGACCTATGTAGATGCCTCATTCTACAATGCAACACAAACACAGGACACAGGTATAATTACCCCACAAATAAAGGCAGAAAAAATTTAAACTAACAACCAGGTATAAGAGAGTTGTATGGTCAGGTATGTCAATTGCAGCATGCACTAAAATATTTGCATATATTCACAGCAAAGTTATAAAATGACTAATTCATCCTGCACTTTTAATTCAAATATAGAATGGTGCCAGCACAACGCAACATCTTGTTCGGTCCACACAAAATTAATTTATAATAGATTCAATAACAAACAATGTAAGAAGCTGTGACAATGCAGAGAGAAATGAATGATTACTGTAAAGTATAATAATTTTCCTAGTGACAACTTACTTCTCCAACAATGCTTTATAACTATTTCAGAATGACATTTGGTACTATTTCCTACTCTTTCATAAAAAAGTGCATAATATAACATTAAAAATTTATATCCACATGTTTGTCACCCCTTTTTTGAAGAACTCCTCTATGTCACTAATTCACTTATACAACAAACATTTGGACCTCAAGGCATTCGTTGTTCAAGAGTATCAAGCAATCACTCCCCATATCAAAAATGTGACGAACATTCAGTACTCGCCCTACCCATAGCATATTGGTATTTTGGACACATCAAAGGAAGTGAACATTTAACAAACATATCAGCTGTATGGGATTGAGTGAGCAGTAGGTCTTTGCTCCATGAATGCTGAATGTTTGGAACCGCCTAAACATACTTCATCAAATCAAAGCATAATCAAAACAAACATTTCATATATTCCAAATCCATGTCACAGACCCTTAATCTGTTTACAAATTAAAATTATTCTAACATAAATACTGACCTAAACTTATTTACCTACAAGAAAAATCTGAAGTAATACCATTCATACTACTCTTAAAAATCTAGTTGAAGAAACTAACTAATAGACAAGCATTAATAGTGTATTTGTGTATTTTGAGCCCAATGATCATAACGACCATCAATTAAAAATTACACATACTAATATACACACCAGAACATTGAAATACTAATATTGACAATAAGACAATATTAAGGCTAAATTAGCGATTTTATTGCAGGACCCCCATTATGAAACCAGCTCAGAAAAGATCATTTTAGAAGAACCTTTATTAAAGAGGATTTAACTTACTACAAACTTAACATGATTTTTATCTAACTTACATCAATACTTAATATCATCAACATTTATTTCATGTTTTTAATTATGCTTGTGGGAACTAGGAAGAGGCCAAAGGCCTTTCATCCTGTTTTCTTGAGGATGATATGATAACTATGATGTAAGGGATTTTATCTAATCAACATCATTAATCATCAATGATTAAGCCCAACTTACTACAAGAATTGTTTGTTTAAACTGATGCATTTTATATATATTTCCATGATAGCAAAAGTTAATCACTAAAACAGTTCTATTCACATACTAATTACATTGTAAACAAGATTCTATATTTTCAAAAGAAATTTGCTAGAGGCAATAATTTATACATTAAGCAAGTGTTTGCATTTTTGGAGTAACCTGAACTTTTATCTGCTAATGGCAAACAAAAGACACAAAGAGAAAAACAAGTACAAGTAGAATAGTTCATTCTTGTGAAATAATTTGGAGTTTTTGTTCCTCTTAAAGGTGAAAATACTTCCAAAAATACAAGAAATAGATGAATATAGATGGTGGCGAACACTAACCATTTCATTGATAATTAAGTTCACTATAAAATAAGATTTTTTTCAAAAATAACATACCCAATTACTGAAGCAGATAATATACTATTCTAGGCAAATGCATATTCTTTATGAGTTCTTTATACTCTTATTTGGAGTTAACATGTTTGTAGTTAATTTATGAATGTGCGTGTGTATTGCAACAACTAAAAAAATAAAAATTGATGAATAGATTCCATATACAGGAACTCAGTACAAATTATGGGCAACCTAAATATCATCTAACAATTTGGATTCAATTAACTAGCTTGAACTACACAAACTCCCAAGCAAAATGGCAGCCCTCTTTGTCATGACTGAAAATGAGGTTATGTTAACTTATATATCTTATTAAAACAGGCTTTTCAGTATTGATAAATACAAGATTGTTTTGAGGAAATTCTACAGTGCAGAATTCACAGTATTATACAAATATTATAAATCTCAGTATTAATTATTTTGCAATTGAATAGACATGATTAAGTCTGCTTGAATTGACGATCACCAAATTTGTTAAAGATGCCCATGATAAACAGTAACTAACAAAATATGAAGAAAAATAAATATTTGAAAATTTCTTAATAATTATAATAATAATAATAATAATAATTATTATTATTATATAACTTCTCCAATCAAATTTTCCCTTCAATGTTTTTCAATTATCAGGTAAATACAAAAATCTTGTTAAATCAAATAATTGAGAATGAAAAACTAAATTGGGATATTATTAGGACATAAACAATATTAAAGATTGAGTTTTTCACTCAAAGGAAGTTACCATTGAAAGATAAGGATGTGTTCTGCACAAACAAAAATCTATTTGCAAACAAAAAGTGATTATACTTGTCATATGCTTTGTATCTGAAAAGGATGCAACCTAATTAATAAATTCTTTAAAACTCCACTCCACACAGACAATACATTCATAATGTGAATTAATACGCTTGTATTCTTGAAGATTCAGTCAACAATAAAAAATTCTGAAGTTTTTATTAGTCTAATTAATCTAAAATTAGTCTAAAATAATTCTGTGAATTTTTTGCTTGCACAAGAAACAATAAAGGCTACTTTATATTTTTTCAATAGTTTAGTGACTGACACTCAAAGGAGTTGCTCCAAGACTTGTTCCTATTTCAAACAACAAAATCTTTTCATTTTACAATTTATTTTTTATTTTTTTCTTCTTTAAAATTAATTGAAAAACAAAAGATAAATGACAAGTTTCTTTTCATAAATTATACTGAAGAATATTTGGAATTAGCTCAATTTTTTTTGGTACAAAACAAAATATATCCTAAGTTTGATATCTTGTCAGACTCTCAAATTTTTACTTGTATTCTTTGATAAAACATATACAAGTTAAATGCTAGAATTAATAAATACAATTCACTTTAAAAATCTGTGGTGGCTTTGGGCATCACAATAAAACTACATACATAATGAATGTATCAACACCTGACTTAAGAAAAGCATTATGAAATATGGACAGCTGCAATTCTCAAAGAAATAAAGTTTTCTTGTAATCAAAACGTCAAAATTTATACTCTCAATGGAGTAGCAATTAACTAAGTACCATTAAGACTATAACTAATTTTCTTCCAAGTCCATTGCAAAAGAATAAAAAAGGAACTCACCTCGGAGGAACTCCTGTCATGATTGGTTCTGTGTTCTGAATCCCTGCTCTCACGGCTGCGTTTATCTTTAGGAGATCTGGCACAGTCTGTAAGAACAGTGGAAAGTAGTGTTGCTGGGCAATTCGAAAGAGCAGATTTTATAGACCAAACAAATCTCTTGCATATCTCATAAAACATTTGCCTTCCTTTCTTCATTGAAACCTCAATACTTACTTAAAATACAATATAAGGCATTGCAACTTACCCGAATATTTGTCTCTTGACTTGTAGTCTCTATTTTCTCTCTCCTTTTCACGAAGTTTCTGAATATACGAATTCTTTGTCTGATAGCTTCTGTCTCTAGGACTTTGTGAATCAGGGCTGTCAGACCGATAGGAGTTACCATTTGGTGAATCACGCATTCTTTCATGATTGTACCTTCCATCATAGTTCCCTTTAGAACTGCTATATTTGGAATTCTGAAAATTGCCAATGCAATGTCACTGTGTACTTTGTATTTACAAAAATTCTTCTAAATATATATTTTTTACAATTAAGTAGAAGTTAATGCGTCTGGACAAACTAAAGTTTATGAAACATATTATTCAATAAACTTTCTTAGAAAAAAAATTGACGAAAAATTCATTTGGGCTAATGACAATATTCCTCTGCACCATTTATCTCTTTTGCAGATGGTTATTGGAGTTAGTTTTCTGTTTGTTTTACAATATTTAACTAATTTTAATAAATAATCATATTGATTATAGAATATAATCAATGAATATCAAAATAAAACTCTAAGCATTTTCAACGATCGTCGATTGTTCAACATATCCTTAGATAAACGGGGCGATGGTATTTGGCTCAATGTTTACCTGATACGGATGGGCTTGATGCTTTTCGAAGTACCTAGAATGAAATAAAACAACACGTTATTGAAAACAACTGTCAAAACGTGTGGAATATATGTATTAATCGACCTCCATACCCAAATTACTGAATATGGCGAAGAGGTTGTGTCAGATGAATTCTGAGTGCTAGTAAGAGGTTGTAAGCGTACCCATCAGTAATCCTCTGAGGTTTCCTTGCATGCATTACCATCAATGCAAGTGTCTAGAAAATGTGCGTGGCTCCTACTGTAGCCTTCTGGTCCAGACAACGTCATAAAAACAACATGAACGTCTATTTAGCAGTAAACTTCCTTCTCAGACGCCATGTCACATTCAGAGACGTGAGCTGCTGCTAATATGAGGAGAACTAGTAATCTCATTGGTCAAAGCGTTTAACCTAGTTCGCACAGCAGCCACCAGAGTACTCAAAATCGGCCCGTTGTAATTATGGCGATTCGTATTTTAACAGACGAGTTGGCGAATTGGTACGTTTAAACTTACATTCGTGAGCGTTCGTGTGAAATATTGCCTTTTATTTTATTTGATATTTTCAATTCTTACGCCAGTCTGTGAGATTTATATATTTGTTATTACTTTTATAGGCCTAAAATATAACTTTCTACTGTACCCCACCCAATACTATATATTTGTATTCAAATTCTGAGATATAATTCAATATTTTTCAGAATATTTGATTTTAGTTTTAATATTACCTTACCTTTAAATAGAATTAGGGCCAAAAATATTTCAAAACCTATTCTTTTAATTCTTTAATGTATTAGTATTTCAGCATTAATGAGATAGAAAATTATACTATAAACCAAACGTGAGAGAAGTACTGGATATAGGATGTAGCAGGTTTTAATGAAAGGCATTATTTATAAAAAACAATTTAATAACTGTACAATACATGAGACAAATGCAAATGAAAACACAACCTTTGATCATGGGCTAGTGGGATGGTCTATACTCGCTTCATTTATAGAAAAATAATATCTGCAGATACACTATTCCAATAAACTAAAAGCAATTTTCATCAATTTAGCACCATTATCTGAAAGTTGTGCTTTCATGTACTCTATATTTACAAAGACTTAAAACAATGTTTTAAAGCAATTTACACAGGCAATAAAAATGTACTAGTAAAAATCCTTCACTATTACATTCAAATCGTCCAAAAAATGTACAGCTTTCTAAAAGCTTTCTTTATACACATTTCCATTCTTCACAGAAAATCTTCACATGCTATCCCAACAGAGTGAATGAGGTGATTGCGCTTCCAGTGCTCAGTTAATCATGAAGGTTAAATCTGTAAAATAAATAATTCACCAATTATCCTGATGCTTAGGAAGGTAACTATATTTTAATAGAAAAGTTATAATCACCAATCTGAGTTTAAATGTTAATAATTATTCTAATGTTAAAAGTAACGTGTCAGCATTCTTAACACACAATTATTAGGGGGGAAGTACAAAAACACTACATAATAGTAAACGATAACTCACTCATTTTTAATAGAAATAATTATTTCAAAAATGTGATAAAACCTTTTGGTGTGAAATAAACAGAAAAGATATATACAAAATGCCTTCATAAGGACCAAAAATCCACCTTATGTTATTTCATATTCAAAAAAAGTTCTTTATAAATCTACAAATTTGTATGAATTTTGAACCATCACACAGTAAGTAAAGGGAAGCAATGATATTTGTAGATCTTTCCATCTTCAAAATTTAACTTTGTAGCAGTTTCAAATGGAATCATTTCTTCTGAAGTTAAATACTCATTGGTATTATTTTATCATTAATTTATACGACAATACCTGAATCAGAGGGTCCTGTCTCATATTTCAAATAATAATAATTTGAAAATTCACTTTCAACATCTTTTCCAACTTCTCTGGGCATATAAGTTTTGGAGTCGCTATTTGATCCCATTTGAATATCAAAATTCCTGATATAACGAAATCATTTATTAGGAATTTTCAATAAAATCATCAGAAAAAAATGAGCAGAACTGTTTGAATTTACATTAAATCCATGAAATTATGACAATTATTAATTAATTTGTGATTAAACCGATTCATATGGTGGTATTTATATATTACTGTATTTACCCGAATATAAGCTGACGGAATACACGCCAACCCCCAAAGTTTGAAGAGGCCTCCTGAATTTTTTAAGATGATTAACTAATTCTTACTGTTTAGCCAAAATAAAATTATATAATTTACTAGAAAATTGTCTTGCTAATGTTAAAACGTATTGCCTGTACTATCAGTATTTTCTTGTCCCATGAAATCATAATCATGTCACTACCCACTTTATCTTCACATGTATCCTGGTTTCCTTTTTATCCTCCCTTATTTTGTTGTCTTAATTTTTAGGCTTTTCAAGAGTTTGCACGTTCTATTTGTGATCTAGTCTTTCATCTGATGGCACCTTAAATTATTCCTTTCCGTCACTAAATTTTCAGCCCGTCCTGCTCTTGTTCTTTGCCTCTAATTTTGTCATCACTTGTATCACCTTCTATAATAGAACACACGAAAAGTTCAGATCGTTTAATATTCTTGTGATTGAGAATACTACATTATTCCTCAGTTTCGCAGGTAACTTGGAAAGTTGCCAAGTTAGGGAAATTTTTGTTAAAATAATATTTTTGTATCATTAATGTGGTTGAATGTAAAATGGCCACTTTTATCAAAGTGGATTTTTTTTATCCATCTCATGCAAATTTGCAGATTGGCGCTAGCTGGGCATCAATCCAATCTATGTAGCTTCATTGATCTTGGCAATGATTTTTATTTATTTTTAAATTGCAGTTCTCTTGATGCAATACTATTCGTTTGGGAGTCTCTCTTTGCTGGCCAATTCAACTATCGATCCGAATACCCCAGTAAATTCATAGTGGACCCAGAGAATAGGTCAGTGAACATAATTAGGAATTACAGAACACAAGATATTTTTTCATGTGTGTAGCTCATTGCACTGTTACCCGTCCAGTGACACAGAAAGGCAACATAAAACAAATTCTAATCTGCAAATGTAAGACACCCCAGTGTTTTTTGAAAGAGTTATGTAGGAAGAAACCTCACCTCATGTTCGGGTACACACAGTAATAAGATTGTCATACTCAAAAATACCTCCTTATATTTTGTTCTTTCAGCGCCAAAAGGTTAGAAGCTGAACCTTAGAAAAATCTCATCAAAACAGTTTAGCCTCAGTGATCTAATATTTTTTTAAATAGATTTGAGAGAGAGAAGCAGACTATAATTTGCTACCATAAAAACTTATAATAATAGTACTAGTAACAATAATAATAATAATAAATATAAATAATTTTCCAAAATCTCAAACTCTTGGTTAATAAATGTACAATTAGTGATAATGGTCTCATTATAATATTTATTGAATTTGCTAGCAACTCTCACCCATTTCTCCCTTCTCTACACAACAAGAAATTTTAGTATTATTTTCCGTATTCTCAATTCATTGTTTCCCAAAGAAGATATTTCATAAATATATTACATATTTCATAACATAAAATTTAAAATACATAATTACATAAAGAAACATAAAATTTAAAATGCATAAGGAATTAACAAAGCCTAGCATTACATTTCATTCTTCTCTGTAATAGCACAGTTTATACTAATCTGTGATAATAGTACACTTCAGCCAAATTACCCCTTGATTATAAAATAAAATAAAAAACAAACAAAAAAAACTGTTCTTAAAATTTGAAAATATAATGAAAATTTCAGTTTAGGAACACTTTCCTTTCCCTTCACAAGGGATGGTACAAATTATGATATGAACTCAATTTGAGGTACTTTGATCCTGTCATTAAATGTTACTGCAAATGTAACTAACTCCAACAAAAGGGGAAAAGATTAAGCTGTGCACAATTGTAAGGATGAAATGGGTTAACTGAACAAACAAGAAAGAAATGTAGGCAAATTAATTTTTCACCAAATACACCAGTTATGCATATCTCTGTCTCCTGTCTATTAAAAAAGAAAAACCTTTTGATACAACATTCACACAAAAACCATTTATTTCATTAAATTTTCAAATATATGTGACGTAGAAATAGAACAAGAAACCCTTTGGTTCACTTATACAATACAAATAATTTTATGAATTTCAATACCTCTAGAAAGAAGGCTTTCACTCCACTCCTTGTACAAGGTGGATCGAAGCCATTTGTGGTACTATATCGACCACCTCTGCCTGAGGAGAAAGAAAAAAGTATACAATTAATTTATCTCACAACCGTCTATAAAATTCAAATTTTCAGAATTAGAAACCAAATTGCTATTTTAATATAAAATCAAAGATTTCACACTTCACTAAAAAAGACAAAAGGTAATAACCAGCACACATTTCATTAAAGAATTCACACATTTTGTGTGTACGTGTGTTAAAAATAAATAAATAAATTAAAAAAATCTGATGAGAATTTCACACTATTTAACACAAGAACACCCTTCTGTTCACAAAAGTTCTTTTCTAAACTCTTAACATTTCTCTTTACCTAAATGTTTTCAAAATCATTTTTTGTCATCCTACCTTCATATGACAACCATGCTATTCCTCAATGTGATAACAATTTGCTTTCCAAAACTTAATAATAACTTGCTGTAGCGACAAAAAAAAATCATCATTCATCAATTTGCATCTGTTGTACAAGACCACCAAAAAACAATACAACTGGAAGAATGATTTCTTCAGAAGTGTCTAAAATACCAAGATACATTTGATATTTTTCAGCATTGAAATATTTGAAACAGAAGCAATAGGATGAGCTCAGTACCTAAAGAGTCGAAATGACATCTCTTTTTCAATTTGATTTGATACCGACGTAAATTTGATGATGTTTCACGATTTTTTTTTTTTTTTTTTAAATTTCAGTTTTTAACATACTATAAATTAATGAAAGTGATAAAATGCTTCAAAATCAGAAACTCCTGTCAACAAAACCGAAGCAGTTACAAGGACTTAAAGCACACCAGAAGTTAAAAAGACGCCGCTTGCATCAAATAGGAATGGAGCAAAAAATAATTCTGTAATTTTCGGAATATCTAGTTTTACAACCATCTCAAAATTTTCCTGACCAATGATTCTTTCATAAATTCCCTGACTTTTCCAGAAAGTGGCCACCATGATTTAACATGGACAAACAGAAAAAAGTATTCACAAAGACAAAACTTCAAATAATGGAAATAGTCATTGTGCACCAGAAAAGGATAATATAAAAGATTACAATTGATACTCTTCTTGAATGCAACTAGAATCATTCAAGGTTAAGTGGAAATTCTTGTGTAGGCTCATTCATGTATCTGCAAGTTGAGAGTACATGTATCCTATTAGAAGAACTTCTGAAGAATTTGAAACACGAATCAGACATGATGTGGCACATTTTCCAAAATCAAGAGTACTGCATTGCTTATCATAAGCATGCAAATAAAACATTTTCTACTTTATTTGCATGATACAATTAATATGAAAATATCTACATTAGACTGGAGAAAATAATTACCAACAATTTTGAAAAATAATCTCAAGACTGCAGTATATTTGGCTTTCTGATGAAGGCATTTTTAACATATACTTTGATATGTCCATGAAAACAAAGAAAAAAGAATTAAAATGAACAAGCAGATATGCATCCATTAATGTGGTTAGTTGAATCACATCAATAAGCAGTGTTAAACTATTATACCTAAAAAAAAACAACTATCAAGGACACAGATTATTACTAGTACAGAAAATCAAAATAAAATGCAGCACACATGCAAGTTACATTAAAGCTTCTACAAATGGCATATATAAAATTTAAATTTATTTAATAATTTACAACTGAATTTTTTAAAAAGAAGCATGTTAAATTTGTGGGTTGACAACTACTCAAGTTATAATGGGATATAAAATAGGACGTAGTTTTATTAGAATGAGCTCTTACTTAGATAGGTATTATAATGAATCTTGAATGGAGCCAAAATAATAATTTAACAGATCATTATGAAGTTAAAAAATATCCATTGGGTCCCCATTATTTGAGATCTTATAAAAATTAATTGGGTATGCTAAAAAAAAAAATTCATTATAATTACACAACACTTTGAAATTCTTAAGGAAGTATCAAGTAAAAATGGAAGACTTGCTATCAATGACTCACCGTTTTTCTAAATCATTTACATTACTATTGCCTATTATTGAGGAATATTGCATTTAGGCAGAGGTAATGCACATAAACAAGTATAACATTCTTAACATATTGTAATTTGGAATGTTGAGGTGGTGGGGT